AGGGGCAGCAGAGGTAGCGGAAAGATAGGAAAGAAGTAAATGAAAAAATAACGAAACCTAAATGAGGAAAGACCTGCAAGTTGAACAACCTCAACAACTGAACCCCATATTGATGTTAGCATAATACCATGAAAAGAGAATAATGATATTGATGCGTTTGCTGATGATGATGATCATGAATGAGTTGTTTGTAGTAGTACTCACTACTTAGTAAGAGAAAGCCATGGACACTTGCATCTATTTGTGTAACAGGAACTTTTCAACAGGGTGGAGGGGTTGCTACTTTGTTTATACTTTACACGGAAATATGCAATGCAAAAAACCCAAAAAAAAAGTGGTGCTCAATAATCTGTGCAGAAAAGAGTAGACTGGACTGGGAGGGAGACTGGTCCCTTTCTTTCTCTTTGCTCTACTTACTCTCTTCTGTTCTGATATTTGTATTTTCACTGTTGTCACTGTTATTTTCTGATTTCCACAGTCTGCAGATGTTAATGTTTGAAGTTTTTAGGAGAAGAAAAGGAAAAAAAAATAGTGTGAGTACTAGCTGATGTTTGAGGTTTGTTTTCCAATAATGCCCTTGTCTTCTGCATTTAACATCAACTCTAACCTATTAGGCAGTTGTTTGAGGCACGCACTCAAACAAGCGTGTAACTCGTAAAGATCGTATTTTTTTTCTGTCGTGCCTTGTTTGAAATGTGATTTTAAAAAAAAATTATGTTTTATGTAAACATATTTTTCAATTATATTTTTATTTTATATATATTAAATCGTTACAAAATTCTAAAAATAGTAGTCAATGGGGAAATAGTTCAACCCTTGCAATGAAATGTTTTAAGTAGCTCAGAACTCCCACAAGGAAGTGAGCGATTATAGAGAAATAAGGTAGAGAAATAAATAAATTTAATAATATATAAGTGACATATTTTGTTTAGGATTAAACTTATATACATTAATGGGTTTGTTTGGATAGGGTAATAATAAATCTCACGGTCTCAGTCTTGGGAACAAGTTATTGGCACTTAAATTATTTTTAATATACTCTATAATTTTTTTTTTGTAAGTTCTGCAAAAAAAAATAATAATAAATGGAAAACTTGGGTTGCCTTTATCATTGGCCTAAAGGAAATTTGTCACAAAGATGATTGAATATAGTTCGTTGGCTCCAGTAGCCACATTTTTCCCATGCAACATGCTTTTTAATTTGGCAATTTGTTAATTTAAGGGTTGATTGTATGTGTGTCCTTCTCTATTGGTGCCTAAAATTAATGACTAATAATTAAAAAATCTTCAAGATTCCTTAGAAAACTGCAATCCAAACCGCGCTTGAGAGTTACAAAAAGGATTTAAAGAAAGAAATTTTGTTAGGGGACAATGGGCATATGCTCACAGGATAATATAAACAAGAGCACAAACGACGTCATATAAACCAAAATTTGAGTTTCGAAAGCCTGCAGCGGCCAGACTGAGCCCCAAGCTGCTGAATAATGGAAACTTCAGATTTGGCTTTAAAGATTGTCTTTAGTTAAAAAAGAAAAAAAAAAAGAAAAAAATGTGGTAGTGTAGGTGTAGCATACATTCATGATTCATCTTTATGGAGGGTGGGCACTGGGCATTGGTTGGATGTGGGCGGCGTACAATTACAATCGCTGCTCCAAATTTTTTAAACAAAAGCAGCAATTCAGTTCCCTATTTTAAGTTTTTAACTACTACTACTAAACCACTGATCTAAGCTCCGTGGCAACCAACAAAGTCTTTTAAGTATGATGGGGCGAGAGGTAAGGTTTCACTAAAGCCCTTAAGTCTTTAAGGTTTGCCTTCCATCTTTTGTCACTAAAATTTGACAAGTCATTTTAAATAGCTTCTAAACGAGTATGCAGTCCACTCGATCTGGATCTTCAATAGATAATTTATGCCATGCTTGGATTGCTTGTTTCCGTCGGAAAATATTGTCGTTTTCCGTAATCACATTTTCCTATCACCTTTTTCCCTCACATATATCAAATCGCTACAGTAATTTTTCCATGAAAAATGACGGAAAATGCAATCCAAACAAAACCTTAGTTTTTTTCAATTTTTTCTTGAATCTTTTCAGATTCCTCCTCCCCATAATAAAGAATAAGTGTAAATTTATTATACCCTGAAAAAAAAAAATTACTACTACTAGTTACTATGACTGCATCCACATCTGACTTGGTAACGAGACCTTCCCGGCCAGGAATTGAACCCCTTGAAAGTTGAAATTTGAACTAGACGCATTCTTTCTTTTCTATTAAATTAAATGGGCAATTGGCTTTTAGTTATAGTAGTGTGTAGTACGTATTTAAATGATGGACCCCAGTTAAGGATCCAACAATTATGGTTTAACTTTGTCTTCTTTACATGCAATGATGATTTTTACCATAATGTTCTCTTAAAGTTTTGTGAAATTTAAGTGAGCCAGACAAATAATTCGCAAATCAAGACAATCCGTCCCATGTAGGACTGCCAATGCCATCATGTTCTAAACTTTTCAACTGCGGATTCTTTTTTCAAGATGGGATTTTGGAGGGAAAGAGCTTGAAGCTAACATCTCTCTACCTCCCAAGCTCTCAGCGGTTTATTATTTTTTGAGGTTTTTTTTTTTTTGAAAATATATTTATAAAAACATCTCTCTAACTTTTTTTTCATGAATTTTTATCTATATTACACACACACACACGCGTACATAATAACAATTACTGTCCTCTATACATTTATACACTTCTCTGATTAATTTTACCTTTTCAAAAATCTAACACACATAAAGTAAAACATCTTTAAGAATTAAGAGTGTTTAATAGACCCAATACATATTAAGATTAACCCATATTATTAGAGTAAAAAAGGGAAAAGGATTTATGATGCTATTGCTGCAAATATCTTCGTACTTAATAAGTCATCAGCTTTTTAAGTTGTTTTTTTTTTTTATTTTCCCATTTAATGAAAGCGTGAACAGCACCACATGATCCGATTTGCAATCAGATCAAAAATTTCAAGTCCCAAGCCCCAGCCCCCAACAAGCCACCCATCCAAATCCCCAAAATGACACCGTGGTCCCGATCCTTAACCTTGGAACCATACCAATACACTGCTGTTATCCGTCTCCGTCAAAGCCTCAATTCAGTGACACAGTAATACTTAATCGCTCAAAGTCCGAAACAGGGCCTCACAATTTGAAGTTTTTTAGCAGTTTAAATTAGTTATTATAATTATTATAAATTTTAAAGAAAATTCATACAATTTAAATATAAATTTGAATTTGTTACTTTAATACCAGTTTATTGGTATAAAATTTTTTATTTACATCAAAACCATATGAATTTATATCAAATATTACTAGAAATATACTAGTAAATTTTTTTAGCGTGAGACCGCCAATCCGCCGGTTCTCGGTCTGATTTGGCAATTCCAGTTCCCAATGCGCACAGTTGCACATCCCGTTTGTCAGCTAAGGCTCTCCCCGTTACCTGCCTTAACTCGCACGTTACCGCAATTAAAACCGTCTGCAGCCAGACGGCGACTAAACGGCGCTCTGCATTTGACGGCTGACGTCGTCTGTTTGGCGCCACTTTCCACGGATCGTGTCTCGCTGCGTCTCATCTGCTCCCAAGGCCAAACTATTCTTTTTTTTTTTTTTTCGATATTTAAATATGAAAAATTGTATCGCTCTACCTTAAACTATTCCTTTTCCTAATCCAATGCTTGTGTTTCGTGTCATTGAGATGGGTGTCATTATTTGACTTGATGCATACACTAGGAATGATTTATTTAGAAAAATCTTACTAATCTGTATACGAAAAAAGAAAAACACACGCCATCTTTTGATATTTGCGTGTATCACTCCGAAGATCAAAGCCGTGTCCGTACTCGAGAGGGTTGAAATTATACATTATTATTTTCTTTGAAATTCCATGGAGCAAAGTTTAGTTTCGTGATTACGATACAAATTGTTTAAGTGTAGGTGTCGCGATGGGGCAAAACAAATTTTAAACTTATATATTGATGTGCACACACTCTTTTTGGTTTGAAACCGAATCGTTGAGCAACAAATTCCCTAGATTTGAAGCGTGAAAAACTTGAAAACAAAGCATAACAATCATGAAAATTATTTACAAAATATTGTCGAATATAATGTATTATCTACTTCCTTCATGGAGTATAACATGAATTTATTAGATAAGGGGAGAAAAAGATGACATTCATTTTCACTAAAAGATTGTAGATTGAGGATATACAACAGTCTCTTTTTTTTTTTTTTAGGATATACAGTCATTAGCTTTTTGTACCATAAGAAAAAATTCTTCTTAAATAAGCTGTCAGGCAATTGTCAAAATTAACTTTCTATGATTTTGATGGATTAAAATTGGAAAGCAAGGGGAAAAAAAACTCACAAGTTTAATCAGGATTAGAGAGTATTAGGGCATCTACAATGGAGTATAATGATGCGTGTAATGCCTGTCATGATACGGGTTCATCATTACGCGGCCACAATAGGTGGTCGTGTAATGAACCCGTATCATGACAGGCATTACACGCATGATGCGTGTAATGGGTGGACTAGTGTTAAAATTTAGCAATAACAAAATTTATACCAACAACGTTAAAGTTAGCAATGTTCATTATTTTTTTAGGAATTACATTTTAATTCTCTATATAAACACACAACACACTTTTTTTTTTTTTTTATATATCCTACCATTCTACTCTATTATTTTTTTTACTGTCTCACTCATTTTCCTCAACCTGTTTGCACAATTTTTTAAAATTTCAATATTTTGTGATTATGGATGAAAATTTTAGTAGTTTTACAAATATGTTAAATGCTTCAAATATAGAAAATTCATCCTCCTCACAAAATCAAAACCCCCAAAATTTTCCAAATTACCCATTTTCTAGTATTCCTACAAATGTGCAAAATTCTTTTTGTCCCCTAAATTTATCCACTTGTGGTATTCCTATAAATTACCCATTTTCTAGTATTCCTACAAATGTGCAAAAAATAATAATATATTATTTTTGAGAGATTCCCGTAGTAACAACAAGTTCTGGGATATGTGGCGGAATATCATATAGAAGGACACGAAATAGTTTAGCAGCATAAGAGCCTGTTTCACGGAAACTAAGCTGAATCAGTTTCTTAATTCTATAGATTAGAGAAATTAATCTGTAAAGAAAAGGCTCCACGACACTAGTTCAGCTGCATTTTGGCCAAAAATTTGTAAAGGAACACTCACTGAGAAGTAAGGTACGGATGCTCGATAACCAACAAGAGTCAAGTAAAAGACACACCCAAGAGCAGCTGTTGTTCTCCGCTCGATAATGGAAAGACGCTCATATGTGATGCAATATCCATGAGAAATCAGGAGGAACAACACAAAAGTTACAGTCTGAAAGAGCACTCCAGTTACAAAGACACCAAAAGACATCCATAAAGAGCATACTTGAAGATAAAAGCACGAGTACCTGCAGGAAAAACACAAGATCAAAGAACGCACCTCTGCAAGGAAAGTAATCAATATATAGAAGTAACATAAGTTGTCCCCTTTTAGCATCAAGTCTAGATTTCAGTTCCAAATTTCTGCTCATATGTGTTTACCCAAACTTCTTTTTTTCTTTAATGGGAACATGAGCTCTTATTATATGTTCTAACCATTAAACCAAACATACTAATACGAGTCTGGGAGTACAAAAGAGACCTAAATCATAATAGGCACTGGAGAAAAATATGGGCCTGTCCTTCACATTAACTAGTTGCTAAACTTGCACAAATTTCAGAAATTAGTGATGAAAACAATCAACAACTAGGCACCGCGACTAATAATTCATGATACTTCCAACAAAGAAAGACTTACCAGAAGAGAAAAGATAAGGTCAGCTGCAAAGCTTTAATTAATGGAACAGCGGTCAGTGTCCATTGCAATTTATTCGTCTGTTCTAGTGACAGCAACAATCACCGCAAAATTCACAAATTAGTCCTTCAAACTTAAAATACATTTAGAACAAAATTTTCTGCTAAAAAAAAAGAAAAGGTCTATTCTTGAAACCACACTTGCAGGCAAAACACGAAGAAAATGTGAAAATAAGATACTGAGGTCAATCGTTAAATTACAGGGATCAAATAAAAGAACCCATTTGGAAATTGGGCTCATGAATATATATTGACATTTCAAAATGAAAGAAGCAGTGAGGCGGAAATTGAGGTGGGATGCCAAGATTTGAGTAGTGACGAGAGACCTGAAAATGGCGGTTTTTGTAAGTGTTGATGGTCCAACAAGCTGCAGAGAGGAGCCAAACCAACATAAAAGCCAAGTTAAGAGAAGGGATTGGGCGATAAGCTTCGTTGATGCCATCGTAACTACTCTTAGACGCCTCCATCCTTGGGGGAATTCTCAAATTCTAAGGGAGAAAAAAGCAACCATGGAGTTTCCGTTCTCATCAGTTTCTGCTTATAACGCGGGGAAAACTGCTACTGTCAATAGTGTAGCTTTGAATTTCTTTTCTTTTTCTTTCCTTTTCCTTTTAAATTTTTTTAATAAAATTTTTCTCCACTTAATTAGCTTAGCTTATGTTAACCAAGAATTGTGGATTCGAAATGACTCCTTTGTCCTCGTTATCTGCTACTAATTACTACACTACTGTTTTGTACTATCGCGTTAATGTCGCAAACCCTGTTTACTTTCCTGGTAGATCTGTAGGAGAGGTTAGATAGATTTCTTTTTTTGTTGGATTAATGGTTTAATCTAGTAATCTATTACATATTGAAATTGTAATTACTTATCTCTGTAATCGAGGTTTGGATAAGTTAATCTCAAAAAAAAAAAAAAAGATTTCAAATGAGATGAACTTAAACTCGTTTTCTGGAGGTAATAATGTGTTATTCCTTATGCAAAGAATTATGAAACCACGGGTCCGTTAATTACATAAGATACTACTAGTATTTAAGTTCTCCTTTCTTTATTTTCTTTATTAAAGATGTGAAGTCCAAATTATATATTGTTGCGGGTCAGAGATGTGCAGTTGTTGAAAAAAAACATGCAACGAAACCATTCTTCAAATTCTGCATCTTTAGTCCTTATGATATGACCCCATTATAATAATTTTGTATGTTTTGTTGTTTTCGTTGCTGGAATTAGCTCAACAATCGGATGGTCATCCGATTTGAGACCAAAAAAAAGAAAAAAAGAGGATGATGAAATCTGGCCTACTAACAAGAAGGAAAATTTTGCTCATATTGAACAAGGATTTCGATTAGGATTTAATTGCGCACTTTATTCTGGCTTCCTTTTCCCCCCGCCCCGCCCCGCCCCACGATCCATCCAATTATCAAATTTTTTTTTAAAGAAAAAATGCAAAAAATCGAAACAGATCAGCACGCACGGGTTGATTACAATCTGACCAACAACTTGCCAGTCCTGAGCAACTGGCGTTGACCTTAATCCAAATTTCCGTAGCTCCATTTAGGCCTGGCTTCATTTATATTATATATAATATAATTCCTTCTAGTTACTACATCACAAAAAAAAAAAAAAAAAAAAAAAGCATACTTCACATTAGGTGAACAAACACACTTGCAAACTACTGCTTTCTTGAATCCCACTCCATTAGAGAGCTTTATGCTGCTCATAGTTTCGTTTCATCATAAATTAAATTCTTTATGCTGCAGTTGGTGGGGTGGGGTTAAATATTTCTTTTCCCCCTTCTTTTCGAGTACTCTGGTTGTCTATATTTTCTCAAGGTCTCGAGCCTTCTTCTAGCAGCTGATTGAATTTAAAAAAAAAAAAAAAACCTCTTTGAAATCAGCAATCTTAGGAAAATGAAGTAAACTTGCTCTTTTTTGCGGTGATCAGTCAAACATGTTTAGAACAGAATTCTTGACTAATGACTAGAGAAAAATCCTCCAAACGGGAGAGGGTGTTTGGTTGATCAATCTGATTAACATTATTAATTTGACACCGATAGAGAGCACTAGTAGTAGTAAGTACTAACGCTTCTCGAGAGCCGCAAAATATGGTTGGGCACATTCACGCGGGCCAAGAGCGTATATGTGGGCTGAGTAAACACCCTCCAGAATCCGACAAATTTTTGATGATTTGGGACATATTCCAAAGCCCATCTGAAAGTAGCACAATGATGGGGCTATCCGAGCAAAACAATTTTACAATAATAATGTCGTATTGAAGTTTATATTTGTGTGAATGGCACGAAATAATATGTTAATGTTGTGGGATGGTAAGATCATTTATCGTAAGATGACAAGTAGATTGCGAATTGATTTATGAGCCGTATACTGCAATGCATGTATCCCCAACAAAAATGACTTTCAACAATTATATTATATACTACGAATGCATACATGAGTATATCCTAAAACAGATTATGGCATTGTCTCAAGCAAATGAGACACGGGATAATTACTAGTTTTTTAAGGGGCTAGGAAGCTTGATGTGTATTACAAATTGCTATGGGCAATTGATTCTCGGGAGTATGCCTTGGGCCAAAAACTCAAGGAGTAAAATTTCACCTCAAAAAAAAAAAAAAAATTCGATACGATAGATTATCCTACGTTAAGGAGGAATGGGAGGATCTGAAGAGGTTTAAAAGTAACTCGAAGGGGATTAAATCACCTACCGGACCAGATGAGTGCTCTGTGCACCCCCCTGAATTTTTTAAACAGAGCCGTTGTAGTGTGGCAAATTGATGACCTTGTCTCCCACCCCACCAAGTTTTAATGCATTGATGGTGACCACCAACCCAAAGGATATTTTGTTTTTGGATAACTATTTATTGTGGTATAAGAATTGCTGAATTAGTTCTGAATTTTGAAAAACAATTTGAGTGTTGTTTAGCAGCAGTGTATTTGTTACTTCCCATTGTATAAGCCAAAGTATTCTTCATATTTTACGTTTTTTTTTTATGAACACCTATTTCAATCACGTTTTTATTTTACATACGTTAAATTGCTATAATATATATATTTTTTAATAAAAAGGTCCAAAATTAATAGCAATGCAAAAAAAAAAAAAGATTCTTATGCTGCTTCTACGAGAACTTTTCACGAATTAATTGTCAAACAAAATTTAAGATCCCAATGTCCTGTCACAGTTCATAACTCCAACTGGGTCTGGGGGGCCTTATTGTTTGATTGGGATTGGTGAGTTGCCATCGGTCGGTAATAAATCGGAGTATTGACACAACAGCATTCTTACAGGGAAATAAGTGTAGTTTTCCAGAGCTTCAGGAGGATGTGTGCAGTAGGTCTAATAGTAGGGATTTTAAGCGGAGCAGCAGAAGGGGCCTGATGTACAACATTGTAGTACGTGCCAAGACATAAACAAGAAGAGGTCGTCCGTCTTCTTTTTCTGGCAAATTTGAGGAGGCCTGCAGACGGATACTACTGACACCCAGCTATATTCACAACTTGGTTGGAAATTTCAGACAATTAAATACCGTGAGCCACAAAACCTCTCTGGGAGGCATTATGTCAAAGTAACTTCTTCGCACCTGTTTCATCCCACCAAATTACTGAAGCGGTAGATAGACCAGAAATATATTTTTAATTATCTTTTCTTTTCACGTAAAATACATCACAAAAGAGTAATTATTCACAGTCAGCTAATTACTACAACTAGATGGCGTGGCTTGTCATATGGATTGAGAACGAGATAAGGTCAATTATTGCTAGTATGTAAAAAAAGAAAAGGACAAAAGGGTTGTCATGAATTACATTCAAAGGAAGATGTACAAAAATAGTAATCCTTCTGTCTCATCCGTCGAAAGCATTGTACTTTTCATTTTCGTACGTCCTAGTATGTTTGTTATGCTGAGAAAGTTAAATCACTTTTTTAATTTTTTTTTTTTAATCATTTATATATTATTATTCAAATTTAGATTTTGAATTTGTGAGAATAAAATTCCAAAGAGTGGTATGAACGTTACAATCATAGCACTATTTTAAAAAAAATTAAAATTTCAAAATATAACAAAATAATTGAAATGGAGCGATTAACATGTTTTTTTTTTATTGGATAGATGCGCTTTCGCGTCATCTCGTTGCTTTTTTCGCTCATTCGTGTCGTCACTTGCTCACAAGGGCGGTCCGTCTTTCAGCTCTTGGGATTTGGAGCAAGGAGGAGAGGACAGAGCTGAGCGGAGCTCTCCGACTACAATTTCCTAATCATCAATAATGAATGAATTCAAGAAGAGTTGGGAGGCAAATGAGAATCACGTTCACACCCAGTGGCCAATAGCTTGCGACGACTACTGCTAAGTACGACTATTTGGTCTACCACCAATCCATAACGGACAACGGGACAAAGTGTAAGTGGCAGGATTACGACGTAGGAGTAGGATCCCTCCAACGGATACAAACATGAATGGAATTTGAAAGATGCCATTCTACGAGACTTGCTCCAACAACGGCGGACCTTTTCCTTTTGGTGACGGAAGGCCTTTATCTGGTACTAGTAATTCTTTTGTTCCCCATTATAAATTGAAATAGAATGACTTTCTAATAATATGATAAAAGGACTTCACCCAAAAAAAAACCTGAAAAAACAAACTTTTATATCTTAGTATAATAAGCAGTGATTTTATAGTACTAATACTCCCTCCCTTTTTTTATAACTGACGTTTAAGAAATTTGCTCTTAAGTACTTTTATCTGTCGTTTTACTATCCTCATGCAGCATTAATTAATTTTTCACAATTTTACCCTTTTATCTCTCTTTTCCAATACAGGGTTCTTAATTACTACTCCTAGTTAGTTTGCATTGCTTTTGGCCTAGTAAAACAGCATCATTTAGTACTCTAGTGAGAGAAAACATGGGTGAATTGGACAATTAATGAGGGTACAAAAGGAAAGTAGTGTATAGATTTAAACAATGAAAAACTTTTCTTAATTGGTGTGCAAAACCTTAAACGTCAGTTATAAAAAAAGGGAGAGAGTAGTATTTAGTACTTCTTCTGTCCCACTTTGATAGTTTTGTTTTCCTTTTTCGTCTGTCCCAAATTATAATTCAGTTTCTAATTGAAGAATGTAGTTGTATTTTAAATTTTCTAAAATACCCTTATTCAATGTAAGTTGTTGTTACTATAAACTTACCCCATTTAATGAGAGTTGATTCTTTTTTTACCATCAATTCAAGTTCCCCTAAAGTTATACTCTAATTAATGTGAGGGTATTTTAGAAAAATAGTTACCTAAATTAATTGTTCCAACAAAGTTAACTACTTTTTCTTAAACTGTGTGAAAAAACAATCAGAACTATCAAAGTGGGACGGAATAAGTATTTAACTTGTCAAGACTCAAGACAACATGTTGATTTTTGACACAGTAGTTTCTTGTCCTTTTAATCGGATCATACTTTTTCATTAGACGTCGTCTTCATGTGAATCACTTTTTACACTTCGTCAATTGAACCTTTTGGTTTTCAGCGACAAAAAATTCCTCAAATTTGTGCTACCGATGCCACCAGTTGAAACAACCAAAAAAAAAGAAAAAAGAGTGTAGTATAAAAAGAAAAACAAAGAGATTCAAGATGGGCAGACATTTTCAAAATTTATTTTTAAGGCATTGGGTACCAACCATTATGGAGCCCACATATATTACTGTTCAACGTCATGACCCATTTCTTGCGTAGGTCCCACCCTCCAAACCCCCGTCTTCTCCTTCTTCTTCTTCTTCTTCTGCCCTCGGCCTCGTTGTTTGTACTTTTCAGCTTCTCTCTCTCTCGGACTGGGGGTGGGTCTCTCATTTTCAATTCTCAAGGAAGTGAGTGAGGGAGTACTTAGTAGTAGTAGTAGTTAGTACTTAGTACTTAGCCACTTAGGCAAGAGTATGAATGAGCTCATTATTAGTCCGTAAGTAAGCGCTGTAATTGGTAGCCGGTAGGTTAATTGTCACTGTTCCAGAAATTGAAAGAGAGCGTATTAACTTTTTAACTTCGTACTCAGGCCACCCCCACCCCCCTCCTCTCTATAAAGCCCCCCACTCTCTCTCTCCACCCCCCATTCCCCAACGGGTATATTGACATTTGTCCCCTTCGTCTCTACATTCTATTTCTTCTTCTTCTTTTTCCTCGATATTTATCTTTAACCATTCTTTCTTTCCAGTGTACCAACACCCCTGCATGCGGTTTTTATTTTCCTGATCATAATAATAATGTCTGAGCCACCGAGTTCGTGTTCTTCATCTTTAAGTTCTTCGTCGTCGTCATCATCGTCCTCCGGGTCAACTCAGTCTAACCCGTCTACCGAGCTCGTAAAAGTTTCCAAGGAAGAAGAAGAAGAAGACAGGCCGCGGCTCAAGAGACAACGCGACAACAGCGGGAACAAGCATCCAGTTTATAGAGGAGTGCGGATGCGGAGCTGGGGAAAATGGGTGTCTGAAATTCGCGAGCCACGTAAAAAATCGCGCATATGGCTGGGAACCTATTCCACCGCTGAAATGGCTGCTAGAGCCCATGACGTAGCTGCCCTGAGTATTAAAGGCAACTCGGCCATTTTAAATTTTCCTCAACTCGTTGAGTCGTTGCCCCGCCCGGTCTCGCTCGCTCCCCGGGACGTTCAAGCTGCTGCAGCTAAGGCGGCCGCAATGGCGGAGCTCAGCTCTTTATGCTCCTCCTCCTTGTCGTCGTTATCGTCATCTGCAAGCGACTCAATATCATCACCATCAACAACTACAATGACGACTTCGTCGGAGGAGTTGGATGAGATAATCGAGTTGCCGAGTCTGGAGGAGAGTTTTGACTCGTCCGAGTTGACACTGTCTGACTCGGTGGTCGACGGGTGGCTGTTCCCGCCGTGGTGGGTGTCTGACGCTGAGTTCTACGGCTATTTGCTGGGTCAAGCTGCGGTTGGTGATTGCGAGTTGCTGAAACCCAGCAGCTTTGGGGACATTGAAATGGGTTAGCTCCACGTGGTACACCTAAAATGTCTAGAATTTTTTTTTCCTCTTTTTTTTTTTATTTATTATAAAGAGAAAATGTCTAGAAGCTGTTTGGCTTATGGTTTACATTTTTGTTCCACTAGGGCCACAATATATAATATATACCCATGTCTATAATATTTTGGTTCTTGCTAATGTTCCCGGACGATGATCATGTAATATATACATATATATACATACTTTTGCTGTTTAATAATTATTCACACAGACTAGTCTATATCTATATCTATATAATCAGACATGTTTTGCCGTTTCTGTTGATCACTTCGTTTCTTCCACTCTACATAGTTCAGATTGCAAGTAATTTCTACCAAAACAAAAGTGATCTTACCATCTCTCCTTTTTGTAATTGGGTATTTTGCTCTTTGCTTTGTGGTATGTATATATATGAGATGCTTCATTTTCGCATAGAAGGCCAAGGATTGTGAAGAGGGCTTGTAAGATGGGATGATGCTATTTCATTTTCAATTGAACTGGAAGCTGTGAATTCAGAAAATGTCCTTAAAACTTGTAGTAATTCTTACGGGTGAAAGACTAAAGACGATCGCCTAAAAGGTCATAACGTGGCGGCCATGGCTTTACTTCGTGCTGTAATTTTCACCAGAAAAGCTGATAACTACTTCGTGGCCAACAAAACGAGCTTTACTTGGCTGGGCCTGAAAAGTTTTGAGAAGCAAATCAGTGAATCTCTTCCCATTTCTTGACAAAAAATGAAAAAAGAAGTGTGGAATGGTCAATTGGACAACACGAACAAAATACTTCATGGGGACTTGAGAGGGGTCTTCTGTCTATCTACTTATAAAAAAGTGTGGTGATTGTCGCACGTAGCATCAATGCCCATTATCTTAAAGACAACATGGGCGTTCTAGTTTTTTGTAGTTTGTCTACAAGCAAACAAATGTCCCAGTCAAAAGTCATATGCCATTACCATCTTGTCCCTCTAAGTCATTGGCAGATTTTTTTTTTTTTTTTTAATCAGCAGTATATAGTAAGTAATGATTAGGATAAATTTAATCCATTTTCTAATGTCATCATTTTAACCATAGACGTTATAATATTGAACTATTATGTCTTGCTTGTTTGTTTGTTAACCTTCAAATGATTTGAAGAGATTGTGCCCCGGAAAACAAATCATTTGTGCAGAACAGATATATTGCAATCTGTGTGGGCATAATGACTTGCATCTCCAGAGTCTAGCCACGTACCTTATCTTCTCAGCTTAATTAGTTTGCTTTGACTACGTAGTCGGGTTGGTTCTCCTTACACCCGATTACTTGTTTCTTTCTCGTATCAGTTACATGATACGTCTTTTACAAATTACATTTTCCCCCCTATTTTGTTTTTGCTAAGGTTTTCCTCGTACTCCCTCTGTCTCATTTTGATAGTTCTAATTTTTTTTCCACACAATTTAAGAAAAAGTAATTACCTTTGTTGGAAAAACAAATTTAGATTACTATTTTTCTAAAAACCCCCCTTACATTAAATAAAGTTGGCTTTTCATATATCAATATGTTTTGAAAAATCTAAATGTATTAAATGAGTTAGGTTATATTCAATACTAACAATCTATATTAAATAAAATAGTTATAGTAATAACAATTTATATTAAATAAGGATATTTTTAAAAAAAATTAAAAGACAACTGCATTTTTTAATTAAAAAATAGACTACAATTTGGGACAGACGAAAAAGAAAAACAGTACTATCAAAGTGAGGCGGAGGGAGTACTAATCTTCATCAAGAGTCTACCATATTCGGCAAGTATTTGAAACTTGTTGCACGTGAAGATGAAACCGACCTGGCTTTTGGGAAATAACACAGGGAAAGTGAGTAAATTAATTTCTTCCTGGTAATTGTTAATTCGATACAGTAACTGGCGACTTCGTACATGTAAGCTTTGGAAAACTTAAAAAGACATTCTATCGACGTTTGGTACATGTAAAATTTTTCTTTTTCTTTTTTTTTGAGGTACAAATAAACTCCTCTGCAAGTTTTCACTCACTCAGCAATATTAATAATAATATTAATAGTGTAGGCTGCAGAGGTTTTTCCAGCACCATCAACGTAAATTAATGCAGATTCACATGTTTGATTAGTTAGATTAGATGAGTACGTACGTGGTTCCATCACATGTTGAAGCCTTTAGACTTTATGGATATCACGAGAATTCTCGAAACGTCAAAAGTCCATAAATAAAACTGTTTATAATCCAAGTTTTGTAAGTATCATTTTACAACATACAAAATCTCAATGCCAACAATGACACGATCCAGCCACTAACTCTTGAATGGTTTCACCATTGACACAAATTGATAAGTATGCTCTTTTCTCGACAATCATATATATATATTTTCCCGCTGTGTTCTAGTGTCGGATAACTTCTTAAAGGGACAAGTGTGAAATGTCTTACAAACAATAAATTGATCAAAAGAGATGTTTTATAATTTAGATTCTTATCCATTGTTATATGGGACAAATTCCAATCGAGTACGAGTACATAACATAACGTAACAAGAGTGTAATACAACAAAAGTTGACTTTGCCGTAATTCACCCTATCTATCATGCTTCATTTTCTAGTGAAAATGAAATACCATACGAGATGTACCACTAAATTATACTACTAGCCATTAATTAATGAATGACTCTTTAGAACCCCGTTTCAGGATATCAAACTCAAACAAGGCGGAGGCGGAGCAGAGTCTTGTTTACGTTAAAACAAGTTTCTATCATCAGTCACTCTCCGAGTTTTCCAAGTTTCTATCACCAGTCACCCTCCAAGGCGCTGGCATTACTAAAAGATGCATTAGCTTTGGAGGGACAATCAAGAATTATGTGAGGTTCCCGAAAATGACTTTTTTCTCTCTTTCTTTCTGGGAATTTTCAGGAGCTTATTTCCCAGGGCTTCGTGGACCACTTATATAATCAAGCTAATAATGGAGCCTTTTCCTTCGCCAGCTTAGAAGATGATGATGTTCCCTTTCGATCAGTTTTCGGTTCTCACCCTGATCTTGTTATGAACTGTACGGCTACGAAGATCCCTTTCTTTCATTTTTTTTTTTCCACCAATGAGGATTTTTCTAATCAAAACCCTAATCGCACATGGTTTAATACACACAACTTTATCTACAGCGAACGCATCCACATGATTTTGAAAGCTTTTTTTTATTTTTTTTTTAATTTCATTAACCTATATTTCAACAACATTAACATTTGATCCTTTTTATACTTGCTTTTCACAGTGACATCAATTGTTTAAATTACGACACGATTTTTTCGCTTTCAAGTTCAGAATTTTGAGGGAAAATTCAACTCTTAATTATATATAGGCGAGAAGACCATACATAAGACTTATTCGAATCCTGAGCTTGAAATCTCAAAAAATGGAAACGGTGAAAAATGGGTTTAATCGAGGGAATAAACCGGTAGAGCTTACACTGCTAGTTAGTTGGGCATGATCGTTACAGCTCAATTTCTTTTCAGAAAAGAAACGGGAAATCTAGCTCCGTATTACTAATTGCTGGACAAGTTGTACAAATATGAGACCACAAGAAATTAATTCTCCGGCTATCCTTTTTTTTTTTTTTATGTGCATTGACCACATAATCACCAAGAGACACAGACAACTACTAGTAATTAAGTAGTAGCAATATCGATCATAATTAATTAATAACATGTTTGTACGTATTACGAATGGTAGCTAGAATGATGCTTCTTCATTCTAACACTTTGCGGATTGGTAGGTAGCCGAATTGGTCAACACTAAAAAAAAAAAAAAGGGGAAGAATTGGTCGTCATGGTAGCTAGCTAGTTGCAGAGATGTTGTAGCTTGACCAATTATGCATTTCTTCACCCCTGCACGTTAACTTAGGTAACGATACGAGACAATCAAATTCCCATAATCAAAGCATCATTAACAAACTTCAAAAGAAAGACGTAGTGTAAAACGTGTCACGTGGTTTGCCGTCTGCCACAACATTTGCAGTGAAATGAACCGGAGAAGAGATCCATGATTGAGAGGCAATTCTCTCACGTAGAGAGTAGAGAGGACAGAAAATTAAACTAAAAGCAGCATTATATATATATGTATATATATCCTAATTCCTAGGATTGAAGAATTGGGTTACCGGTTACCGTGAATGGAATGGAATGTATATATGATGATATGCATTTTTCTAGCACGTGCTGTAGGCTGCAGGTTTACAATTTCGGGAGGTTGGTGGTGACAGACTGGATGAACAAAAGCATATACCAGCCAAGCCAAAAATAGATGGAATGGTTTAATTAGTTCTATCGTACCACCATACAACTACTACTTTCTAAGAATGGTCGGTCATTCACTTGTTGTACCATAGCATAACACGATCGATAGATGACAGAAGTTGGTGTTAAATTGGGTGATTTTCGCACGTTGTTTGATAAGAAATAACGAAATTTTTTTTGTTATTAAAATTTGTAAGAAATTTGAATTTATCTGCCCAATCCATTTATTTATACTCATTTAAATAAATGGATATAAATTGGTGAGTCGAATCAATCCACTACTTACTAATTAAACGGATTTAATTGAGTAGCATATAGACACATTCAAAGTTAATGGGAGGAATTTAAATGGATCAATGTAATTGGATTATGATCGGTAACTGTTCGTTGTTCACAGCTCGTTTCCTTCAATGAAGAGAAAAAAATGGAAGGAAGAAAGTCAAAACCTGTGAACGCGAAAATTGCACGTTTTCCTTATCAGCAACTAAGTCCAAAATTCACCCAATTGAACCCCGTGTCCTACTTACTAGTGGTGTGCTGGAGCTAGCGTGGAAATAAAAAATAAATAACCCGTGTACCTTCGCATCGCATAATTGATGTGTGCTTTTACGACTCAAAGGTAAAGCATGATGATCATCATCATTTTCTGACTCAGGTTTTGAGTCACGATTCCATTTAGATGCACGCAGGTACCGCATTTTGCTGCGCAGAAGAATAACGGAACTACTCGTACGGTCTGATGCCATAAATATGAACAAGTCAAATGGTTTTGCCCACCTCACATCTGCAAACGCCCGCAATATTCCGTTAATTTGGCCGCTCTCATTATTGTCTCTAAAACTAATTAAAAAGGCAAATCTTATAATACTCTCCATGATTTGGTCGTTGGAAAAATTTAACCGCCGCCCCAATTATCACATCATGGCATTTGGCCA